TGGCGCAAGGTGCGGGGGCCCCGAGGCGGCAGGCGGGCGGGCGGCGGAGGAGCAAAAGTTTGTGGAAATGCCATAGATAGAGAGGTACTTTAATGCTTTTTATGGCTGCCTCAACTGGCTGGGGATCCATTTTGTAATCTAAACGGCAATCTTAACGATAGATATGGCTTAGGTTGGTGGCGCTTGCGCGCGACCTCCCCGGCGGAGGGGAGGGGGAGGCGTGGCGGGGGTGCTGCCGGTGCATGACGGGCAGCCGATGACACCTGCGATACCCCCTTCGGCACGGCGATGACGAACGCGGCCCAGATCGTGTGACTCGCCGGACTGTACCGAAAAGGCCGCCGTACATTTCCCAGGCCGGGTAACTCACCTGTTTATGGCCCTGTGCCCCCAGTGACTTACGCTACGACCATTGAACTCGCACGGAGCGCTGGCCGCTGTGACGTCTCTGTTTTGTGGAGCCGGAATTCGTAATGAGGAACACCTGCCGTCTCGCTTTCCAATCGCAATCGAATCGCATGCCGGCCTGCGAGCGAGAGAGACGGAGAGAGAGAACCCCTCCGGAGAGTCGTTCGTTTCCCACTAACGAGAACAAACAGATCGGATATCTCTCGAGTGTCTTATTTAGGAGCGGCAAGATGGCGGTGGTACCCGGCGTGGCGCGCACCGCCCTACACCGCCCTGCACCGCCCGCTCGCTGCTTGGAACTGGTTTCGGAGCGCGTCCACCAATCAGGGAACGCGCTGTGCGCCGCGCCCTTCCACGGCCCCACCGAGACCGATGGCGCGCCCAGCCAGCCTCCAAAGTTTTTCATTCTTTTTGGAAAGGGGAAGCATACCATTTCGTACGCATACACGCCGGTCTGTTCAAATATCGTGTTCTTAATTTTAATGACATTGAGGTATTCAAAGATTAAAATATTTTCGGGCCTGAAGAGGAAGTTGAATTAGCCGACTTGGTAAGGTCTTTCGCACTGCGGCCGCCCAAAGTCACGATTTCTAGAAATTTTTATCGCCGTCTGACGGCAAGCTGCTTGCAAGCGAGTGTATTTGTGAAATTTACACCGACGTACACCAGAACTCTTTGATTATTCACTGTGGCAACACCGGTCTGCGCACTTCACGCCTCGTTCTCTATGCGCTGTGGAAACAAAGGTAAACCCTGTTCTGAATACACCTGCACTCTTCGCGCCCCCATTCCGGCGCCACCAGCCCCCTGTCGCGCCCCCCCGGTGGATTCCCCAACCAACCTCAACACCGAGTCCCTCCCTCCCTCACATACGCCCTGCATGGCAGTTGAATTAATTCAACGGTTGCTTCAATACGGCTGCCGGCCTCATTCATGGTCGCGGAAATTGCGCTGGGGACTGCTGGGAGTACAGACACCCCCTCCTCCCCCCACCCCTCACCTCCTTCCCTGCAATCTAGCCCCGCCAACCTTGCGCGTCCAGGTTTCCCCTCGCAGCACTGGAAAGTGATCGTGAATGGTGCAGGCGAGTGAATTCGACCAACCTCATCCGATTGCGAACGGAGGAAATGCCAAATCGGAAATTAATAAAAGTGAGTTTTGATTTTCGGAACTCCGTTCCACCCTTGAGAAGGCGACAAAGGCGGTGGAAGTCTGAGGCAGAGGGATGAGGCTGGCGCCGCGGTGGGTGACGCCGACAGAATCCCCAACTAGAAATTAAAACAAATGGAAGAGTAATATTACAGAAACGATCGGTGGCGCCTCGCCTTGCCCCTCCCTGCGCCACGCCGCGTGCTCCCTGCATTCGAAAAAGGCACCGCAACGTGCCATGCCTCCCCTTTGGGCCACGGCGATGGGACGCCCGCGAAGCACTACTTCTATTCCTTGTACTCTCTACCAAGGAGTGCCACTTGTCCAAGGTGACCGGTGAGGTACTCCTTGTCACGGAGATTTAAACGCAAGGTGCCTCTAAAGCTAATGGCTGGTTGCAAAGCGCAAACACTCAGTGGCTATGGAAATAGTGATGTAAGACGGACCTTCGACGTGGAGCCCTTACCAAGGCCTGATCCCGAGGCCCGAGCCCCAGGCTCAATCCCCAGGCCCAATCCCAAGGCCCAATCCCATATCCTCTCGACTTTCTTCCTCCTTCCGAAATTGGTCCGGTGTGATTTAACGCGAGTACGTGGCAAGATTTGCACCGCGGGGAGGGCCGAAGGCGTGTGGAATGGGAGGAGGCGCTCACACACACACACACAAACACACACAGACACGAACACACACGTGCGCGCACACACGCACTCGACACTCACACAGACACACACAAACTTTCTGGCGCAAGTGCCCCCTTACGAGCCATACATACGCATCCGAGCTCATCGTGCATGCAGGCGTACACCTACGCATTAAATCTCGCTGCCGCCGTTCCGTGTATCGGTTAAAATGCCCCCCGCCGGCGGCCCCGTTGGCCCTGCAGGCCCCCACGGCCCCGAAGGCCCTGCACTGTAAAGACGGGGCCGTCGCAGATGCCGCTAACGCCTCCTCGTTTCGCTATCGTCTTTCCGGTGACGCACCGCGAGAGTTTTCAATAAGACATTGGACTTTGGTTTGGTCAAGCCTGGAACTTTGGCACCGAGCTCAAAGAAAAGTCCGAGCCGACATTACGATGCGTGTTGGCAAGAGAAAACAAAACGTACGATTTTTTGGGGCTTTTCTGAAAAAGAACATCGCCTCCGGTCCTTGCCTTGCGTTGCTTGGCGTTGCTTGGCGTTGCTTGGTCTTGCTTGGCCCGCAGCCTCCAAGTAGCAGCGCATTACGGGGATATTTACTGCCTTAATTACATGGGTGTTTAATTAGGGAATGGAGTTCGGAGTAGCGCGCGGCAGGGCGCGGCAGGGCGTGGCTTATCGCCTCCGGGGTGCCCTTCAGCCTCGCCTTCAGCCTCGCCTTCAGCCCCCCGCCCCGCCGGCTGCGTTAGAAGAGTCTGCCAAGATGGCGGCCGGGGCGGCAGCGGGGCCAGCACTGCGAACGGGGTGCAAATCTGCTTCATCGCCTGTTATTCCGAGCCCGGCCCCTGGGCTGGTGTGCAATGAATGTGGAAGGGACAATCATTGCGGGCCCTACGAAAAGGGGACTAGTTTGTGCACGCCATTCATTTGACACCCCTGTAAATGCGAAAATCATGGGGACATTTGTGCCTCCCAAAAACTGGTAAAGCTTTCACTACTAAGCACTGTCCACGGCAACTTGAGAGTTGCAAAGCCGTATCAGTTTGTCTTTTTTTTAATACGAAAGGGTCCCCTTCTGTGTTGCGTTTGCGTCAGTGAGAGAAGCCTTCCCTCTCTCCCTCTCTCGCCCTCTCTCGCGCGGCGAGGCTGCGTGCCGCGCCTTCGTCACCACACATGCGCCGCCAAGTTTGTAATTTGCACAAGGCGGTGCCTGGCGGTGCCTGGCGGTCTCCTTAAGGAATCCGACACTGCGCCACATGGCCCGTTAGCCGAGTCCCTAATCTGAAAGTAATACCGCCTTGGGCGCCTCACCCCCTTTGCAACACCGCGCACGCTCGTTCCGTCTCTCTTGGCTCACGGCGCAAGTTCAAGTCGCAGCGAGAGCCGAAAACCGTGTCGCCGATTACCGGGACGGCTGGAACAAGCAGCGGTACCTGGCTCGGTTTTTCCACGGAAAAAGAGTTTTCATTCAAATCGATTAAACTTGCATGGACTGCTTCATTCGGTCTGGGTGGCACTACCTCTTTGCCAAAACTTAAACTTCAATTTGAGTAAACTGTTTCCTATATTTGGCTTTTTCAAAAATACAAAAATTTCTCTGCGTCGTGCCGCGTTACCTCTTCATCACCGCGTCCATGCCGTTCCCACTGGCCTAGGCTCAAGTTACGGCGCCGACCGATTCCGGAGGATTCATCGCACTGTCTCTGTCGCACTCGTGGGGCCTTCGGGGAGCGAGGGAGACAGAGCGACGGAATGGTCGTGGGGTTCCGCCGTGCCGTGCCGTGCCGCCTGCTCGCATGATGGAGTGCGGCTCGATCTTTATTCATCGCTCGAGTGGTCCTGCGCCCTGCTGGCCGCCGTGCTGGCCGCCCTGGCTGGACTGCGCCTTGGCCCCTCCTACAATAATATTAATGCGGGCCAGCCAACCGAAAGGAAACAACGACGCACCAATGGCGGCCCGGGCCGGAAGGGCGCCACTTTCCAAAGGAGTCCCGCGCGCCGGAGGGGTTGGCCAGCCTGGCGGCGCGGTCCGAGAAACCAGTCATGCCAACCGCTTCAGAAATGAAGTCGTTGTTTCATTGCTCTGCCTCTCTCGAAATCCTTTGGAACACCTCAACACGGTAAAGACGGTACCTGGTTTTCCCAGGGAGTTCCTTGGGAAATCAGGTAACGTTTTCACCGAGAAGAGCGTCGAGCAGTGCGACAGAACGATGCTTCGAAATCGACCGCTCCTGCGCTACGACAAGGAAACTGCGGGCGTTTCCGCGTTTGTTTTGGTTTTCGAAAAAAAGTGGCGGAGGAACAAGCAAAAAGCGACGGCGACGCGCTGTTACGGCGCGGAGATCCGACAGAGATATCGGAATTGAGCGGCCCGACGCGGCGCGGCGTCGCCGTCGGGGCGTCGGGGCGCGCGGCCGCAGCGTGATAAGGTACGGCAGTGCTGCCAACGTTACTTCTCCTTTCCTTTCTCCCTCCCCGCCGAGCCCCAGCCAGGCCAGCCAGCCCAGCCCGCAGGGCGGCGCATTAAGTTATCAGATAGCTCGCCGGGGAATGGGCTTTGAATCAGGCTCACCGCGACGGATGGCCGCCCCACGGCCGCCCCACCCACTCGTAGCGTCCCCCGCGTCGCCCTGGCGGTGTTGATGGCGGCGCGAGTGAGTGAGAGTACGTACTCCGGCCACGCTCGGGTCGACGCGGTACCAATGCACGCCGCACCGTGTTGCAGTGTGGTGGGTGCAGTCTTGGCAAAAAATGGCGGTGCAAAGTGTGCGCCGGGGGCGGCCGGGCCGCGGGCAGTGCAGTGGACGCCCATTGTGGTGTAGCGGTGAGGCGTGGTGGACGTGGCGGCATGCGCGGCTCTGCTCGGCGGCGACTGGCGACGGCGGCGGTGCAGCAGACGTGGAACTTGTAGCGGATTCCTCGCCTCCGAGATGAAGACGCTCTCGCTGGTGGTGCTGCTGGCGGCGGCCGTGCATGGCTCGCTGACCACGCGGTCCATGCGGCGCGACCAGGACACGCCGCTCGCCTTCCCCATGGAGTCCCTCTTCAAGGCCGCCAACTACACAAGGGTGCGATCAGCCAAGTTTCTAAAAGTTCGAGGGCGTTTTCAACTTTTATTTTAGGAGTTTCTTGTTTTTACCCGCGGCGTGAGTGTTCCGAAAAGTCTGCCGGACTCTTGGCGGGTACCAGCAGGCTCCGGAGGGGCGGTGGGGGCTCCGGGGCGACGGACGAGGGCCCGGCCGGAGCGCTCGCCGATAACGCAGAGTTATGCCGCACTCCGAGGGGCATCCTTTCAGATTTGTTGGGATCGGACTCGAGTCCGCCGTTTGTCACGGGGCCACGGTTTCAAGCGGCAGCCTCGCGCTCAGCCTCCACGGCCTGGTGACGCGCTCTCGGCCGCTCGGGTTTCGCCGAAAGCTTTCCGAAAAAGAAATAATAGGAACAACAGGAATGCGACCCTTTTCCCTTGCTGGCCGCGTGGGTGATCCGGCCAGGTGGGAAGGGTGGGCCGCGCGGCATGTGCTGCCCGTAACGAAATGGAATGGCTTCATTAAAGTGAGAGCGAGATGGACGATGACGCGGTGACGTCACGCAGCCGGTAGCCGAGGCCCGGCAGCCTGGCAGCGCGGCACGGCCCACGGAGGCCGCGGGGGTCCCGGCGTGGGTCCGCGGGGGGCAGCAGGGTCTTCTTTCCTAGCCACGGGCTCAGCTGGTGGTAATGGCGGCCTGGCCTGGCCCGCCTCGAGTAGGGCGTATAGCTGGACGGCCGACCAATCACGGGGCCGACAAAGGAACGCGGCACGCCGCCAGGGTTGCGCAACCCGCGCGGCATTTCCGCCAAACTGACCGAAAATAAAGCAGAGAGGTGCCGCGTTTGCCGCGAAACTGCGCGCAGGCTTGCGGTCGGTCGGGTCGGGTTGGGGGACGAGGCGTGCCTGTCGCTCAAACGGCTTTACGTCCGTCTCGGTGCCGCCCTTTACGAGCTCCAACAGGTCCCCCGGAGCAAGGCGTTGACGCGCTTGTCAACAAGTGTCGCGTCGGGGAGGCTGCAGCCTGCGCCACTTTATGCCGTCAACTTCAGTCGCCTTCCCGTTGTTTTGCTGTGCCGCGCCAAAAGCCAGGAGCACTACCCTGGAGTACGCATACCGCGCACGCAGTGCCGTACTCGGGCGCACCAGGCAACCAGTAGCGAGCCTGTTTCTCATTAAAAGCCTTTTATTACGGACTTTAATCGAGTTGGGTGTCGTTACCGTACCTCTCCGGCGCCATCTCGCGGCCGTCCGCCGCACTAGCAGGCGCTGCGCCACGCGGAGGCCGAGGCCGCGGGGCTGAAGCTGAAACTTTGTAATTGACTTGAAGATTCGGTCGGGGGCGGGGCGACGGCGGGGCGACGGGCGGTGGGGACGCAATGGCTCCACCCTAAGGCCGGGGCCCGTAGCGCCACAGCACCGCGAGACCCCGGCGCACTCATATATCTGTTCGGAAGGCGAAATCCAATTTCAAGGACCGTTAAGAAAATTGTTTCTTATATACAGCGCGTCGTTAACGGGGAGAGGACGGACGGCGCGAGGCTAGGGCGAGGCTGGCGCGAGGCTAGCCGCCTGGAGTGCCAGCCTCTCATCTGATGGAGCGCCGCCACTTTAATAAAAAGGCGGGAAAAAGGAGCGGGAATTTACATAGTAACTGCGAATGAATTCCGTAGGACGTTGCGTTTGTTATTGCTGGCACGGATTTTGTTTGGGATCGTGGACTTGTGCAGGGCGCGGCCGGGCGCAGCCTGGCGCCGCCGGACGACATCAAGGACGAGGACATCTTCACGGCGGTGATGACGGAGCCGCCGCCGGACACGGAGCTGTTCCCGGACGACGGCACCCGAATCGGCGAGTACAGCCCCTGCGCGCTGGCCCTGCTCCGCGCCCTGCCGTCCGGGCCGCGCGGCCGGGCCATCGTGCTGGCCACGCTGGCGGCCTCCTTGTTCTCGGTGCGGAGCGCGCTGCGGAAGCCCATGACCGTCGTGGTGCAGGGCCTGTTCGTGGCCAAACGCGTGATGCAGACCGACCGGCGACGGGCGGACAGTCACGCCGCCGACCTGCTGCCACCCTCCCCGTACGACTGGGCCTCCATCTTCGACGCACTGGAAGTCTCAAATAAGCAGTGACTGTCTGTGTCTAATTTCTATCGAAAGGAGAAAAGAAAGAAAAGTAAAAAAATAAAAAAAGTTCTTCTTTATTTGCACTTTTGTTCGCAGCAGCGTGGCGCTGCGGAGTTCGGAAAGAAAGTCTTGCCTCTGCCCCCTCGGCGGCCCCTCCCCCCTCTCCCCTCCCGCCCCTCGCGCCACGTACGGGCATTAGGGGTGATAGATATGGGGCCGTTACCAGCTACGTAGATTGCATGGCGGCCACCCCGGGGAGAAGGGAGAGGGAGAGAGAAGAGGCTGGCGAGGGGCAACTCGCCCGCCGGCGCGAGAAAGGAGAAAAAGGAAAGAAAGGAGGGAACAGAAAACCAACCCCGCGAGGCGTCTTTCTAGCTTCTCCGTAAATAAACAAAGTCTTGTGTTTATTCATTTTCCGGATGAGTTCCTTGCAGGTAGAAGTGCGTGCTTTGTGAATTGGCCAATCACAGCGCGGGGCTCGGCCGTCCGAATGAGCTGTGAGAGGGTTGGGAGGGAGAGGGTGAGATTAGTCTGAATTAACACCATCGATAGTTTCATTGGAGGGCGCAAGGGCAAGGACAAGTGTCGCAAGGAATGCCATGCCGGCTGGTCGGGGCGTCGTCGGGGCGGGCCTGGGCCTGGGCGGCCTCGGGCAGGACGGGCTTGGGGTGGCGGGGCCCTCGCGGCCCGGGGAGTTGGTTAGACGGGAGCTGTTGGTGATACTATTGTCCCTGTCGCAATTCCGGGACCCATTTCGGTTGTCGCTATTGTTGTTGTTGTTATTCTTGCTACAGCGTCTCCTCCGGCCGCTGCGCAGCGCTCCGGCCTCGCACCGGGGCTTATATTGTTGTCTGGCCCATTTGTTCTACCAGAGTATAGTGGCGGAGGCGGTGCTGCCGAGGTGTATGATTGCCGCTTCTACACTGCGATCCGGCCGGTCGTTCAGTGTCGTCGAGGGCAGTATGGACAAGCTGAAAAAAAACGGGTAGGAAAAATGTTGCAGCCACCGGGATTTGAACCCGGGCCCGTTTGACGGATCCGTTTGCGGCGCTCGACAACAACACGGAGGCGTGGCCGGCTCGTAATGGCTCGTAAAAGGGCTCTCGCGAGTGGCGGGGGTGGAGCTTCGGGGGATTTGGTCCAACAGACGGCCGGAGCGGACACTCAAAAAACACTCAAAAGCCACTCGGGCTGGTTTACGGTAGTCGGCGAACGGCCGCCCGGATCGGCGGGCGATTTGGCGGGGAATGGCCCTCGAACAGGTGTCTCGTCTGCGGCGGCGCGGCGAGGTGGGGAAGCGGACGCAACAAACTTGCACTGTTTGCACTGTTTGCAGTTCCACTTTTTCAACCCCGTGCTCCGACCGGAACCCTCCGCACGCTGCTCCACTGCAACCCGCCACTGTTTCTCACCCAGTCGAGTGAGACGCCCCAGAGGCTGACTCCGAACCGTGCTCTGTCTCTCTCGCACCCCTGTGGGATGCATCACGAGTGCGAGAGGGACAGCGACAAAGCCTTTTGATGCAATCGCCGGAACACGCGGCGCCGCAATAGCCTTTATGGAAAGGCCGTCAAATCCGCGTGAGGGGCGTCGCAGTGCTCATCAGAGGACGAACGGGTGGGAACGGGGTGGATGGATTGTCAGCGAGTTCCAGCCGATTCGCACTTTTTACAACTCTTTTTTTGCGGCCTAGATAGCATTGCCGTTCACTTTTTTATTTTTTTCCTTTTTGTGGTGGCCAAACTGTGGCGCGTATTCGCACATTATCATGGCGGCGCCGCGGGATGAATCGTCCGAACGACGCCGCCGAGCTTTATGGGGATTATAAACCCATCTGGCCGTAACGTTTGTCATATATTCGGCCCGCCAGCGCGGCAGCCCCGCCGCTTGTCCGGCCAGACTGAGGCCAAAAGCCCCATGATGACCATAACCGTCAAACACTGCCTGCAACTCACGTGGAATTCCAGCCTAAAATTTAGCAGCGATTTTTATTTTCATTTTTTGGGCGTGTTTGCGCGGGGGCTGCTTGGGTAAACACTGCGGTCGGAGGTACGTCCTTCTCTGTCTCTCTCCCCCGAGGGACTCTCTTGTAATCTTCCAGGATCGCCCTCAAGGTCGGTCGGGGTGCACACTGCAAACATTACATTCGGTATGGATTGGACCAATGGACCGGCCGCTGTCATCACGAGGGCCGTCTTGCAATCAAGCCAACGAGCTGCCCGGCTAGGGTTGCCGACGGCCGCGACGGCCGGCACGGCGGCGGCGGGCCGCACTGCGCGGTGCGCGGCGGGTGCGTCGGGGACGTGTGGCCACCCTAGCGCGCGGGAGGGGGAGCCGCGCCACTGCCGCACCGACGACAAGGGTCCTCAATCATAGCGACCATCGTGCACCCCATTGCGATCCGCTGTATTGTGGCTCCCCCCCCCCTCCACGCCGCCTCCCCTCCCCCTCCCCTCTTCATCCTACTGCTGTCGAATCTCCCTCCGAAACCGGTCGCGCCGTTCTTCACCGCCCCCCCACCCCTCCCTGCCAGTGCCTCGCTCGCCTCGCTCTTCCCCCCACTCCGGCGGCCGCTGCTGGCGCTGCTGCACTGCGGTGAGGCTGCGCAGGCTGCGCAGGCTGCGTCGGCATGGCAACGCGCGGGGGCCATCTTGGCACGGCGTGCCGCACGGCGTGCGCGCCACGGCCAGCCCGTCCGTCCTGTTGCTGCCACGCCGCGGCATCAGCTGTTTCTGTCGCACCGCCAGGACGCCGACGACACCGCCTCGCGGCTGGAAGCGTTTTCCCGGACGAGTTTCCCCCGCAGAATGGAGAAAAGCTCGTCAAGGCCGAGGTTCCCCGTCTGCCAGCCTCCATTAGCGAGTCGGTCTGATCAATACTGCAGTGCGCGGGGCGGCCCCGCCACCGCCGCCGCTGCACCAGAACCCCATTGGGAGGTTCGGGCGTCGCTCTGGAACGACTGGAATGGTCTTTATCTCAATTCTCACTCCATTAGACGCCGTTCCGATCAAAGAATGTCCGTTCCCGCCCCGGGGGATGGATGGGGTGGGGGCGGCGGCCGGTCCGACCCGGCCCGACCCGGCCCACAGCACGACTCTCACGTCCAACGACGCAAACACGATCGTAAAGTGCGAGTGAGAGAAAATGGACCGTTCCCCTGGAAAGGGGAAAAATAAGGGGAGTAGATTTTGGCAGGGCACTTGAACTGAAGACGCGAGATGGGTGTCTGTGTCCGCGGTCCCTTCGCACTTTCCAATCTTACCTTTTGAGTTTTTTGGAAAGAAACGGGGCTGCACTTGCTGGGGCGCCGCGAAGGTGTGTTGCAACCCCTTCCAGTGGCCCTGCAGTGCACAGCCACCAGGCCACCCCACCGGCGGCCGTTAGGCAGAGACTAATGTATTTATTGCCCCGGCAGGGCCGTCCGTCAGCCCGCCCCCGCCCCTCCCACTCGCCCTCTAGAGGCAGCTTCCGAAGTGGCACCAGGGAAATTGCGTTTCGGACTAATAGAACAGGCTGACCTGTCGGTGTGCGAATGGCCGTCGGGGTAGTTTTCACTCCCGGCCGTCGTCGTAATGAATGCAGCGCGACTATTATTACTTCTCAGCGGTTTTCAATTACTCCGCGTGGCCCGGCTCTGCCCCAGCGCGGGACTGCTCCGCTCCGTACAGGGCGCAGTAGCCGGGCGGGCCGCTGGCACAAGCGAGTAAAACACGGCTTTAATTTTCAGTGAGTAATCAGAGCAGCAGCCCTGCTTCTGATTCATCCGCGCGGTAAGCCCCGCAGTGCTGGCATTGAGCACGCTCGCGGGCAGCACGCCGTAAAAACGCACCGCAGCCCGTCACCAAGCCGCCGCCAGCACGGCCAGGAATTGAAATGAAACGTGGCATTCTTCACAAACCATCAACGGGTTGGAGCTTGTTGCACGCAACAGCTATCCGGCTCGGTGCAACACATTCCTATCCGAGCGATCCGAGCCGTAAATCGCAGAGGCGAGCCGACAACGCCGCGCGGAGCCTCCCCTTCTGGATTTGTTGCAGCCGCCCAAGGACGGTGACAGAAATAAAATCGGAGAAGAGGCTGCGGCACGGCACGGCAGCGGTATCGCCTTCCTGGTCGTGCGAGCGTCCCGGCGTGCCGACACGCAGCTGGGGCCGTCTCCTCACGTCCCACGGCAGGCTTCCCGCCCCTTTCGGGCACGCGGCGAGGTTTCGAAAAATAAGGGAGGGAAATTTAAAAGAAAATAATGCGGCACAAACTTGCAGTAAAATTCAACTGCGCGCTTGCATGCCTCCGTAGCCAAGTCCAGTTGATGAAAAGTCTAGAGTCTTGTGAACATTGCAAAATGATAGAAATCATTCGGCCGTGTTCACCACACCAGTCAGTTTTCTTGGCCCGCTTGCTGGCTGGATTTCGCAAGCCAGCGTGGCAGCGCCGCGGGGCGCTACTCCTGCACGGCGAGCTCCTTCGTCATCTCCAGGTGCACGGGCACCTAACGGTGCCGATGCGGCGACGCGGCGCAGGGACACTGTGCAGGGACTTGGTTGCGTGGCGGCCGTCCCTCAGGATGACCTCACTCCTTGCCGTGGCCTTGACGCGGGCCTCCCCTTCCATCCCTCACCTTTTTGTGCAGCAGGCCCGCTGCGTTGCCGCTTCTCGTCCTGGCCGTGGCCAAGCCCCCCGGCTTGGTGACCAGCGTCATTTTCATTGCGAGTCGCCCACCGAGCACCGCGTGCATCGCGCCTTTTTGACCCCGCAGAGCGGCCCAGCCGCCGCCGTGCGTATTGGATTCCACTCTCGTGTCGAATGTGCGCACTTTTCCCCGAAAAAAAGAAAGCGACAAAAAAATTACGGCGCGCGTGGCGATGCGGCGAAGCTTATCGCGGACCAATAGATTCTCATCGCGGGTCCTATTCACATGTTTCTGCGACACTCCTACAGTGCCGTGGGGGGAAAAGCGCGAACCGTCACCGCCAGTCTCGCTAATTTTTGCGCGTCACGCTTCAGCGGTCGTGGGAATAATTACTGCGCACATTTTTAGGGAGGGAGAGGAGATGCATGCAGTAAATCGACGGCCGG